TTGGACAGTCTCTACGGGAAAGAATTAATAGACACAAATCAAATATCTGAAAAGGCAATTCACAAAAACCTGTTGGAGAACTCTTTAATCTTCCTGGACACTCATTAATGGCTCTCCAAGTTGCTGTTGTGTTTGAGGCCAATTCCACAAGCCAAATACATAGAGAAGGATTGGAACTTAACTTCATTCACAAGTTTAATTCTTACGCAAATAATCTGAACCTGGATATAGGGTGGCTCATACACTATCTTCCATCTTTTACTGACTTAACCAACCAATCAAACAATGGAGGTGCTAATGGATTTTAGCCTCTTGTAACTATTTGAACTATCTACTCACTGTCTCTTTTTTTTCCCTCTCCCCCTTCCCTCTCCACTTTGCTTATTTATTCTTAGATCTGGACTTCTTATACTCATCTGAAGAAGTGGGTTTTGCCCATGAAAGCTCATGATACCATTTACATGTTTTGTTAGTCTTTAAAGTGCTACTAGACTTATTTGTTGTTGTTTTTTAAAGTTTTTTCTCGTAGGGAGACAGTGCTAAATAAAAGAACTGCTCTGTTTGCATCTGACAGGCAGAGATAATGTAGTTAGACCTGGAAGCATTTAAAACTTCTAGAATAGTGATAGAAATGTAGCCGTGTTAGTCTGGTGTACCTGAAACAAAATACAGGACTATGTAGCACTTTAAAGACTAACAAGATGGTTTATTAGATGATGAGGTTTCGTGGGCCAGACCCACTTCCTCAGATCAAATAGTGGAAGAAAATAGTCACAGCCATATATACCAAAGGATACAATTAAAAAAAATGAACACATATGAAAAGGACAAATCACATTTCAGAACAGAAGGGAGATGCGGGGGTGGGGGGGAGGAAGGTGAATGCCAGTGAGTTAATGATATTAGAGGTGGGGAAGGGTAGATGTCTGTGAGTTAATAGTATTAGAGGTGATAATTAGGGAAGCTATCTTTGTAATGGGTAAGATAGCTGGAGTCTTTGTTGAGCCCCCCGCAGAGAGTGTTGAATTTTAGCATGAATGCCAGTTCAGAGGAGTCTCTTTCAAGTGCAGATTTGAATGCCTTCTGAAGTAGGATGCAGGTGAGTAGGTCATTGAGACAGGTGTCCTTTCTGGTTGAAATGGCAAGCAACTGTTTTTTCTTTGGGATCCTGTCTAATGTCTGTTTTGTGGGCATTGATTCTTTGGCGAAGTGTCTGAGACGTTTGTCCAATGTACATAGCAGACGGACACTTTCAGCACATGATAGCATAGATTATATTTCTGGAGGCGCAGGAATATGTGTTCTTGATCTTATAACTCATTTGGTTAGGTCCAATAATGGTATCAGCAGAGTGAATATGCGGACAAAGCTGGCAACAGGGTTTGTTGCAAGGGAAAGTAGCAGGGTTGGTATTAGTGTGGTATGTCCTGTGGTCGTATGAACAGATTAGGAGGGCCCTTCCAAAATGCCTGATCAATGCAGGAAGGGAGGCCTGGGTAAATGAGGTCTGAGAATAGAAAAATCCTCTCCCTACATGTATTTTTCCCCCCTAGTGATATATGTTCTGTCTCTTTACCCAATTTTATATTTTAATGATATAATAAAGTCAGGGGGAGGGATAGCTCAGTGGTTTGAGCATTGGCCTGCTAAACTGAGGGTTGTGAGTTCAATCTTCGAGTGGGCCATTTAGAGATGGGGGGGAAATCTGTCAGGGATGGGCAGGGGACTGGACTCGACTCAATGACTCTCAAGGTCCCTTCCAGTTTTATGAGATTATATGATGAAAGGGAACCTCTGGAGTAACTTTCTTTCCCTGTTTCTGTAGGCTGCAAGGACAAGAGGATGGGAAGTCCAGTCATTAGGAAACTCTCCTGAAACTTGGGATACCTGGCTCCCACTCCCCACTCAGTCATAGACGTTAGCTTCTCAGAGCCTTAGTTTCCCATCTGCAAAATGGGAAGGGTTAGTGCTTCCCAACATCACTAGGTGTTATGATGGTAATTACATGATTTTGAGCTTCTTGGTGCTATAGTGATGGGAGCGACTAAGAAGATAGAACAACATAAGCCATTATTCATCACAAAGTAAACATAGAACCAGAAAAGACTGAAAATAAAGGAGCTTTGCCTTTTAGGTGTCATTGTGCGGTGTTGGAAGTGCCTCATCAGCCACTACTCAAGCAAAACACATGAGTTTGGTAACATTCTTGCAGTTAAAACTACATCCTCACTGAAGCAGTGCTAGCGATCCTGCCTGTGGTGGGAGCATAGCCTGTGAGAGAACCTGGGGTGAGAATGCGGGGCATTTCTCAGAGACTATTAGCCAGAATGCTCTTCCAGCTCACAGTTGTTTCATAGCAATACTTCATTCTGGCATTAAATGTTATATCTCAAGAATTGTGTTGTAAATATGTTATTGGTAATACAATACTCCATCATGGACTATATTATTTAAAGCAATTCAAAGCTGTTAATATGACAGAATTAAAAATGAGCTCTGAGAAGGCCTGTGTTGTGGGGGGGGAGGGACATCCCTAGAGTTAAGGTGTTCAAACATTTGCAAGAGACGTACGTGTGACCACTGTTCAGCATGCTGCAATATGCACAGACGTGGTCGTATGAACAGATTAGTCACTTATCTCACTCAGCTGTAGGAACTGGCTTTATGGAAATACTGTGTTAGAAAATAAAATGAGTATGGATGTGATGGGCGGGAAGACAAGAAAGGAGCAAAGTAGGTAAGGAAGTGGGTTTCTGCTTCATTGTTTCCATGGGTAAAATAAAGAACAGTTTTCTGTGTCTGTGTGTGTGTGTAGTTTGTTTTAAATCCTGATATAGCCCAGCACATTAATAATGCTTTTCTCAGGAGTATTATACCCCTGTATATCTGCTAGCCAGACCTTAATATTCCTTAAAGCCACGTCTTTTTGTCTTTGCCAATTTTTTGAGAAATCAACATTTCTTCAGTATGTGGACTAGTGTTTCCTACCTGGGCCATCCATCCTAGCACACTGGGGTCTCATATAGTAATGCTACTTCTTTAAGAGAAACTTTTCTCAGCCACAACATCAAGCCCTTCCAAAGGGGTGCTTCCTACTCTTATTACAAGTTGGACGTCCCTGGATCCTTGGGACCTGACCAGTCCCTAATCAGGAAATTTGCTGGACCAGGGAAGGTTCCCTGCCACAATCACTCAGCCCTCTACTCTCAGTGCTGTCTGCTCTGGGGGCCCCCTCTACTGCTCCTAGCCCTGGCTGGCCCTGCTGCCACTGCCCTGGCTGGAGGCTCTCTGCGGGCTCCAGCAGCCCGCACTGTTGCGGGCTGCCATGGACTCCGGCTCCAGCCCCGCACTACATTGCTGTGGTTCCGACTCTGACCCCACTGCCACAGGCTGCCAGAGGCTGCTGTTGGCTCCAGCCCTGGTCCCACTGCCGTGGGCTGGTATGGGCTGGCTCTGGTCCTGATTCCACTGCCACAGACTCCCAAGGGCTGTTGAGGGCTCGACCTCCTGCTCTGCAGTAGCCTGTGGGCTCTGGCCCCATGCTCCTGCAGGCTGCTTGAGGCTCTTGTCCTGGCCCCATGCTGCCAGTCCCAGCCCCAGTCCTGTTGCCAGGGAATTCCTGCCCTGTGGCCGCTCATAAGCTCTGACCCAACTCCTGCTGGCTGCCCAGAACTCTGCCTCTGGCCCTGCTTTACCACAGGCTGTTAACTGCCCGGTCATGCACTGTGGGTGCTTCCCCGGGTCCAGTCTCAGTGCTGCAGTCTGCTACCCTGGCTCCAGCAGTCTGCATCCTGTGGGCTGCTCAGGGTTGCCGCCAGCCCCAACCCTGTTCCATTCTGCTGCTTCAGCCTGGCCCCACTTTTGGATAGCCCTCCTGCCACTAGGCTACCGGGCTCTCTGATCCAGGAGTATCTGTGATCGTGCCGGACCATGGCTGTTGCTGGACCAGAGATTGCTGGTGTTGGGAGGTGCATCCTGTACTTCATTTATCACACAGACTTTGTATGACTGCATCCCCGCAAACTCTAGGAACCTTTATAGCATCATCCTGTCATTGGCTTATTAGTACACCCTCAAAGGAGAGTTCTTGGGTAGGATGATGATGCCCATGTAATAGTCAACACTCTAGATTAGCGCTGCACCCACCCCACACTGCAGAGACCGTGCTGGGGGAACTGGCTTTTAAGCTGGCTCCCCACAGCATTGGCTCCTGCTGTATTCACCCTCCCCCTTGGAAAGGCGGGTAGTTAACTTGAGTACCCAACGTTGACTATTCGACTACTCTTTTACATCCCTAGTGTAGGGCCAATGTCAGCCAGCAGTCTGGGGACTAAGGGGTTAACTACACCTAGCCAGGTGGAGTGGCCAATAGGAATGTAGGTAGGACTTTCGAACTGGAACAAAGGAATTTGGTTTTTCCCCTCTTTTGTCTCTGTGTGAGTTTCTCTGCAGCTACAGAGAGAGACAAACATGTCTCTCTCCAAGAAACAATTCTTCACTTTCTGTAAGTAGGGTAAAGTTTAGATAAAGGTTTTCTTGTTTTATGGTTTGGGTATGGGATCTGATGTCTGTGCACTTTTATATATTGTTCTGACATTTATAAGGGAGGGTGGTTTACCAGAGGCTAATGGTGGGATGAGTAACACTGTGGCTAGTTTTTGTAGTTTGCCTAAGTAATGCAATATATTCCCAGTTCGTTTTCAAGATGGTTTACAGGGAACATGTGGACAGGTCGACACATGTAAACTATGCAGTTATGCTGTCATAGCTATGAGGACATAGCCGTGCTGGTATAGTTTGTGTAGTGTAGACGTAGTTTTAATGTATGTGTGGATTTTGGGTGAAGACTGAGGGAGAGAGTACAAGTTAAAAAATGACAAGAAATGAGAGAGTACAGGTTAAAAAAAAATGACAAGAAATAGCCATCTGAGAATTCACTGGCCTGTGTAAATCAAGTTTACATGTTTAGAAAAGTTAATTCTTGTTGTTGTTTTTTTCAGCCATGGAAGAATTAATAGTTGAATTGCGTCTGTTTCTTGAACTTTTGGACCATGAATATCTAACATCCACTGTCAGGGAGAAAAAAGCAGTAATAACTAATATTCTCCTGAGGATACAGTCATCAAAAGGTCAGTGTCAGAGACATATTTTGTTCCTTGCAGAATGGGAAGAATTAGTTTATTTTTTTCTCTTTCCCCCAAAGCTAAATAGAAACAACACAAAGATATACAAACAATCAAAAAATAATTATAAGCTTGCTGAGTGCTTTAGCTTTGTAACAAAGTCCTGGAACTAAGCTACTAGACGTGTGTACAATCTGGTTGCAAAGTAATTTATTGTACTGTAGATAATCTGCCTACCACCATGTTTTTCTGATCTGTGAATTAAGCAGTTACTTTATTTAGATCGTGGATGCACTTGCAATTGGGAGCATTGATTGAAAAATAGTGTTTTATTCTGGAATATTGACAGTTCCTCTGTAGCTCATTACAGTGCTAATTTCGCAAAAACAAGGAGTCCTGTGACACTTTAAAGACACATTTATTTGGGCATAAGCTTTCATGGATGAAATCCACTTCATCAGATGCATTGGAGTGCTAATTACAGCCAGATATAGATCAATCAAGTGTAGGGTAAGAACGTTAAATTTTGATTAATCAGTTAATCAAGTAGTCAGCGGACTTTCCGTTGCCTACTCGATTAGTCTATAAAGGGGAAAGGGGTGCTCAGTATCTGTGCTCCATCTCTGCCTTTGAAATGCAGCAAGAGCTGCCTGTGGCTCTTGCTACTAAGTTCTAGGCCAATGGAGTTTCTCCATGAGTATATTTTGTTACCTTTCCATCTAGTCATTATACTTGCAACAGGAATATTGTTGTAATAATAAAAGTTCTTTCTCTTTTATTTTTATTAATTGGGATTGGTTAATTGTGTGCCCTGATTTTTACTTTAGGGGTGAGATTTCCCAAATGATCTTTCCCCTGATTTCTTTATTAATATTTAGGTGGTGGCAGTGGAAGTTTTATTCCCAAAATCTAGGGTTTTAAGATTTTGGGGGAAGTTTTATACCAAAGCCTGGTAGATAAGGTTTTGGGGTACACTTGCTGGCCCCCATTTCTGCATTTATCATGCCAGAGTGGGGAAGGAGCCATGACAGTCCCCAAATTGGAAATTGTTGTGAGTGAGGACAAAATCGCAAAGCTGAGCCACCAAGTGTGCCATGGCATCATCAGGGATACTGTTCCTGACAGCTTGTAGTCCATCCTCGTGGAATATTGGTGTAGAGAGCTTCTACGTCCCTGGTGCCTATGACAGTGTTTTTAAGAAGATTACTGATACTCTGTAGTTTCCTCAGGAAGTCAGTGGTTTCTTGAAGATAATTTGGAATGCTGGTAGCGTAGGGTCTGAGGAGAGAGTCCACATAGTTGGACAGCCCTGCAGTAGGAGTGCCAATTCCTGAGATGCAAAAGCGACAAGGAGTCCTGTAGCACCTTATAGACTAACAGATGTATTGGAGCATAAGCTTTTGTTGGAAAAGACCCAATTCATCAGATGTGAAGTGGGTCTTTGCCCACAAAAGCTTATGCTCCAATACATCTGTTAGACTATAAGGTGCCACAGGACTCCTTGTCTCTTTTGCAGATCCAGACTAACACGGCTACCCCTCTGATACTGGAATTCCTGAGATGGTGGGACATCCAGGACTTTCAGGTTTATGGATCTTGGGTAGCAAACAAGAATACCTATGGTTGGGGCTCTAGAGATGTGTCTGTGTTTTGTTTTCTTGCCAACTCCTTTCCTTTGTAATTTCCACAAAAGAAGCCAGTCTTAGGCTATGTCTAGACTGCAGGCTTCTTTCGAAAGATGCTCTTTCGAAAGCATCTTTCGAAAGAGCATCTTTCGAAAGATCGCGTCTAGACTGCAGGCGGATCTTTCGAAAGAAAAATCCGCTTTTTCGAAAGAGAGCACCCAGCGAGTCTGGATGCTCTCTTTCGAAGACAGCCTCTTTACATTGAAGAACGCCTTCCTTCGAAAGAGGAACTTTCGAAGGAAGGCGTTCTTCCTCGTGAAACGAGGTTTACCGCCATCGAAAGAAAAGCCGTGTTCTTTCGAAATAATTTCGAAAGAACGCGGCTTGAGTCTGGACGCAGGGGAAGTTTTTTCGGGAAAAGGCTACTTTTCCCGAAAAAACCCCTGAGTCTGGACACGGCCTTAGTAAGTGACTACACAGCGAGGAAAGAGCTGCAGCAGCATCCTGTGTCAGCTGACTTAGGCTTGGGGGTAAAACCAGCAGTGTAGATGCTCAGGCTGGAGCCTGGACTCGGATACCCTCGTGGCTCAGCAAGTTTCAACACCTGGGTCTGAACCTCTCATCAGATGCCATTCTTTCCCCAGGGTATTTTTTCAACCTGAGAAAACTCTTTTTGGAGGGCGGGGAACAGAATAGATAAAAATTATTCAGATTTTTTTAAAAAAATCTTATGACAAATATGGTACATCTATTCTTACAGTCTCATAAAATGAATTAATGGTTCAAGTATGTCCAGCCTAACAACCAGCTCTTGCTTCTTGAACATTCTGGGCTTTCAATTTCTCAGCAGACTAACATGTGCAAAGACAAACACAGACTAGATAGGATTGGTTTTGTTCTGTGCTTATGTGGTGGTGGATCAGGGCCAACCATGGCAAAGTTAGTTAAGATGTTGTTTAAGGCAGAGAGAAAACATATAGAAAAGGAGGAAGCAGACTAGAAAGGAACAGTGGAGTGGTCTGAAAAGAAAAAAGGAGAAGTTATTCAGCACACGCATAGTCCCAATGTTCCCCACCACTTTTGCCACAGAAAAACTGTTATGGCTTCTGGATATGAGAGACTCTATCTGTTAATATTTTGAAGATGTTAGTTCCCTGGGTAATAAAGGGAAAACTTGTCAAGTGTAAGTAATTTAAGAAGAAAATGTAGGGTCTGCTTGCAAGAATGAAACATAAGAAAAATTACTTTTTGGGAGAAAATGATGTGGTTACATCTGAAGAACAATGTGGATCAACTTTGCAATGCTTCATTCTTCAAGACTGTCTCCAAACCTTTAGTATATGTGTAATTTAACAAGTAAATTTCCAAGCTGTTCGCTATGTTGTATGCTGCAAGGAAAAAAAAATGTATAGCTAAACCTTATGACTTCTTAAATTAGTGTACACTACAGAAAGCTGCAGTAAGAGAAATCTAGAGTTTCCACTTGCCACTGTCAGTTTCTTATTTTATATTATATAATACATGCCCCTTATTTTGGAATATCCTGGTCACAGATCATAATGGTCATGCCATATGTCTGTTCCCTATTTTACTTCAGCATAATTCAGCTTTCCCAAAATAACCCCATCTTATACTTGTTTTCAGTGGGGCTTACTGCAAAAATATGTGCACTCTAAGCATAATCAGTCTTAGAATTTTTGGTAACTTGGAATCAGATTTGCATCAAATGACAGTGGGAGTGGAGCAGATGAGAGCTGGTTGTAGAAGTTTTAAGGACACTGTACTTTTAGTATTCTAAGGGCGTGTCTGTTAGAATTAATAAAATTTGAAAATTAAAAAAGATTTTAAGGGTAGCTGTCAGCCAGCAACTCAGGAGCCTACTGCAATAGTGAATTTGAAACATTTATGTAACATATACAGTTTACTTGAAGTGTGTGTGTGTGTGTGTGTGTGTGTGTATTTAGTTCTTAAGATTCCTAATGTGCTGCTAATGAGTATTATGTATTATTTCCTACATTAATAAAAATCAAGTTGTCTAAAAAATTTACACAACATACACTAGGGATGTGAACGACTAGTCAAGTAGTTGACTATCCAATAAGCAAATGCTTATCGGACGGTCAACACGGTAGTCGATTAGTCACACACCCCCCGCGACCGCTGTCTCTAAGTCCCCAACTGACCCTGGGCTTCACGTGGCGCTGCCGCTTTGACATGCCGCAGGGATCACAGGGCCAGTGGGGGGCTGGCCCCATGTTCCCCGCAGTGCTTTCGCCTTTGAAAAACCCTGGGGCTGTTGCTACACTTCAAAGGCGGACGTGCCTTTATGGACTAATCGAATAGTCAATGCAGATTGCATTGACTATTCGATTAGTCAATTAATTGAAATGTAACATCTCTAATGTACACCCTCTTAGGCTGGTGGTGGCTGCCCGCCTGAAATGCTGTTGTAAAATGCTGTTCTGGGCTGTAAAATAACATGTGTTAGTATCAGATTTGCACCGTTGTTTGAAGAACTATGTGAAGAAGTATCAATGGGAAACGATTTAAATCAGTGATTTTTTTTTTTTTTGTGCTTTTAAATTGTTATTTAAATTGCTCTTGATTTAAATCAGTCCATTGGGGGGAGAGGGAGAAAAGGAAGAAGACTCTGTAGTATTTTATAATAATTTCCCCACTTTAATGTCATCCTATTCTAATTAAAATATCTCATTACCTTAACGTTGCCTTTTGATATATGTTTTTATAAATATGCGTAAATCAAAATAGCAAATTGATGTGGAACTTTTAAAATGGAAAGGGTTCATTTATCATATAGTGAAAATATGGTATATTATCCATTCCCCACAGGAAAAAAAACACATGTCAGTTGTGGCACAATATTGCTAAAAATGCACTCTGTAATCACATTTGCAGGCTTTCAAAATATGTCATTCAACTATTTCCCAATCATTATACTGGCCATTGGAATAGAAGAAAAATAAAGCAACTGATCAAAGAAAATTAACAGACATACTAAGTTCTACAAAAATCCCCTTTCAAGCTTCAGGAACAGTGTTACAACATACATTTTGTAAAACCTAAAAATATCCTGGAGATTGCTAAAATTAAAAAGTTGAACTGGAACTGTGATACCAGCAGTTGAAACTAGGAATGCTACAAAGGAGTTTCCAAATGGCAGATACCATGGCCTGGACACTGTCAGCACAAGGCCTATAAATCTTTACAGGAGCTTCTGGTGCCTTGAATACTTCAAATGTTAAGTCACACCCTTGAACAAAGAAAATAGTTTCATTCTTGTCTGGAAGCCAGTATAACCATACTTTTGAAAAAAGATAAAAATCCAGAGGACTGTAGATTATACCGGCCAGCATTACTAACCAATGTAGACAACAGACTATTAGCAAAAAGTTTAGGAAACCAAGTACCTGGCTTCATTCCAGGGTAAGCTGCAATTTATAATATTTAATTAACATGGAACGTTATTCATCATATTAAGAAAATTAATAAAAATGGCCCTCTAGTATTGGATGCAGAAAATATATTGGTTAAGGTTCTTTTTGTAGTAGGGAGAACTGTGGTTTTAACAGTCCATTTATAGCCTCTATCTTAAAGTGATTTGTTCTCTGTATACCTTTATTTGAATGGCTTCCAAAGGACTCTCTCTGTAACCAAACTGAACAATATTATTTCTGGTCATGCATCTGACGAACTGGGTTTTACCCATGAAAGCTCGTGCCGGAATGAATCTGTTAATCTTCAAGGTAACACAGGATTCCTCATTGTTTTAGCAGCTCTTCTGCCCCAGTCATAGTCTCTTTTATCAGCATTGTTTTTTCCATCTATTACTTCACACCTATTGAGACTACAATGTTAGGACAAGCATTTAATCATTGATTACACTTTTGGGAGTTGTATGGCTTCAGACAAAGATTTGGTTCTATAAATATGTATGTAAAAATGAAAGGGAAGAACTAAATTCAGCCCTGAAGTAAGGACAATGCAACTCTATTGATTGAATTTGAATTTATGCCATAACATTGAAGAAATCAACCTTAGTGTCCCAAGGAGATTTTTTTTTTTTTTTGATTAACTATACGATGTTCCTGTACAGAGAGTGTGACTGGGATTCAAATTAATTTACTGAGTAGTTCTTCCTTTATGACTAACAGGCAAGAGTGACTGGCAGGAGCCTCAGAACACAGTTTTCATACTCAACATCCTTTCCACTTTCAGGTTCTCTTCTCTGTTTTTTCCAGGGGAAGTGGCACTAATGAAACTTTATTGTTAGATCTTATGGAAATCATTGCTCCTCATAACAAAAATTGAGAACCATGTAAAAGAAGAAAGTCCTTGGGATGGCAAAACTTCTGTGCAACTCTATTCTAATAATTTATTTTGTTAACATCTTCTAGCTTGGTAAATGAAGGCTGAAGGCACCCTCTTTACTGCACTGGGACATCCCCATCTTCTGTATCTTCCTCTTGCAAAACAGCAAGAACCTTTTAACTATTAGATGTCTAGTTTGTTGTTCCAACTCTGGATATGTAGATCAGTGGCTCTCAGACTTTTAGGCATCTGATTGTCTGGTGTATCCCAAATTCCAGCTCGCTTAAAAAGTACTTGCTTGCAAAATCAGATATAAAAATACAAAAGTGTTGCAGCACATTAATACTGAAAAAATTGCTGACTTTCTCACTGATACCATGTCACTATAAAAATCAATTGATTGGAATATATAATTGTACTTACATTTCAGTGTATATTATACATAACAGTATAAACAAGTAATTGTATGGCATTTTAGTTTGTACTGATTTTGTTCGTGTTTTTTATGTAGCCAACTGTAAAACTAGACAAATATCTAGATGAGTTGATCTACCCCCAGAAAACTGTTGCATATCCATAGGAGATACCCATGCCTTTGTTTGAGAACCACTGATTTGGATCCCTTAATTTCTGATTTCCCCCCAGTTTATCTAGAACTATTTCCTGTGTAGCTTGTCTGTATTTAGTGTTCAGAAGACTGGATTTTTCCTCCCCCACAATATAGTAGGGTGGATGAGCATGAATTATTCTATTTAATTAGAAACTTTAATTTATAGCATGAATCCTATTAAGTTATGTTTTGAGTCATTAAGAGAGTTTGGTTTTGGAAGCCATTTATGATCTCAGGAATGGGAATGAGGCCAACAGAGAAAGTTGTGTCCTGGACTTCCACATTCTGCAAGCTCTGCCATTTCCGAAGATGGACGAATAGAATTTCTATTGTTAGGTTTTTTTTTTTTTTAATGCTAAAAACAAATGTGGAGGTAAAAATGTTTCAGAAGCTCTTTGAAATGAAGAGCAACCAGACTGGGTGAAAATATAGTGGAGTAATTTCCCATTTTAGTCCTTTGGCTAACTGTCTTTATGTATCATGGGTTTTTTTTCCCCCTGCAGGTTTTGAAATAAAAGAACATGTTCAGAAACAAGAAGTTTCCAATAGTTTGCCTGCCCCACCTCAGATGCCTCTACCAGAGATACCTCAGCAATGGCTGGTAAGTGTTAATTTAAATTGTACTTAAAATTTAATTGTCTTTAGAAAAATATTTCCTTACTATTGTTGTGATAACTGTTAACAAACAAAAAAAAAAGAAAAGAAAAGAAAGCTACTCTGCTTTTCCGCAAGGTTAACAAAACACAGGCCTAAAAGTCCTAAATTCAACCCGGATTGCAGGGGAAGAAAGAATTTTAATGCTGTTCAATGCAGTTCACTTTCTAGAGCAGGAAATTCCCTGAAGGAGTAAAATTTTAAGTTTCTAGTGATGTTTATAGATTTTATAACAGCTTCACTAAGGTCTGCACTGAAAGTCATCCAGCTGGAAGCCGCTGTTTTGCTGAAAAGTGGACTAATTATAAACAAGTTTTTAGTCATTCCTTATTATTGACTTGATAATAGCTTAGAAGAAAAAATAATGTAAGTAGGTTCCTAGCAATGAATCTGCATTGTTTTGACCACAACTTTAGTACTAATAATAGAGGGGATTAATTATTAATAAATTGTGCTGCTGCTTACTACTTCAACTTCCTAAATATTGATGTAGAAAGGTATTAGATGATTCCCCATTCAGGATACATACTTATAAAAGTATCAGTGTTTAGCCTGCAATGCCGAATTCAAGGTATGAAAGACCGACTAGATTACTTTAGCATGTTCTTTAATAAATTATATTATTACCGTTTTTGTTTTATTTATTCTATAAGGCAGTTACATCCATTGGTTTACTGCATCACTCCAATGAGCCACCTTCTCCATTATTGGTCATGAGATGGTGGACAGTTCAAATGTTTCAGAGGAAGGTGTAAGAATCCTTATAATGGACAATTTTGGAATTACCTGGTAACAGGAATAGTTTCTTCTTAACTGCTCTCAGTGTTTCAGCTTATGTTTAGAAACAGAATTTTTAAAAATGCTATCTAATATAACTGCGGATTTTCTCAAGCCAAGAATATTTGCTAGTGATAACCAGGGCTTGACAAATGCACTCGCCCGCTCGCCCGTGGTGAGTAGATTTTATCAGTTGGCGAGTGCAGGGGTGGACTGGCCCAGCGGGCGGTTGTGACGGGCTGGCCAAAGCCCGCACTATGGGCGGCTGGCCCCATCCGATCCGCCAGTTGGAGGAGTGGAGCGCCGCTGGGAAGGGGGAAGCGCAGTGATTCTCAGCACTGGGCTGCCTGTGTGCAGCTCCGGCACGAGGAGGCGGGGCCTGGGCGGGATGGCGGCAGATGCCAGGACACTGGCGTGACATGGCCCTGCTGATTTTAAAGGGCCGCAGCAGCTCGGCTCTGGCTGCGTGGCCCCGGGAGCTGGCTGCAGCGCAGCCAGGCCCCAACCGGTCCTGCTGGTTCCAGTCCTGCCATGGCCCCAATCCCCTCGCCGGTGAGAGACTGCTCCCAGCTGACCACCCGGCTCGCTGCCCCCGCCCTGCGCCCCTTTGTCTCTGCGCCGCCCGTTCCCCATGCCTCCCCTGCACCCTGCTACCCTGTACCCTGGACCTTCTGCTCTCCCTCTTCCCTGCGACTCTCTGGCTCTGCGCTGCCCTTGCACCCTGCTCCCCTCCGATCCCTGCCCCCCAGCTCTGTGCTGCCTGTTCCCTGCACTGCCTCTAGTCCCCGATCCCTCTGCCCCTCCCATTCCCAGCGTCCCATTCCCCGTGCCTCCACTGCACCCTGCGTCCCTCTGGCTCTGTGCCTCCCATTCCCCGCGCCACCCCTGTACCCTCCCCCGTTGCCTGCACCGCTCTGACTCTGTGCTGTCCCTGCATCCTGTTTCCCCTGTGGGTCAGGAGTGAGGGGTGCTTGTCCATAGAGAGGGGCTGGACAGGCCAGGGAAAAGGCTGCTATGACCCAGCAGGGAGTGAAAGGGGGAGTTCACTTGAAGCGCCTTTGCCTTTATGGAAAAAAACAAATGAAAATGCTATTTGCTATTTATAGGGCTAAAATGCCGGGACAAAAATGAAAACAAAGAAACAAACAAAAACCCATTGCAAAATGCAAACGTGTAAAAGACAACAAAAAAGGGGAGGGAATGTTTTGCTTGGGGCAGCAAAAAACTTAGAGCTGGCCCTGGGGGAGGGGAAGGGGAAAGGGCAGGGGAGAGGAGGAGAGGGGAGCAGGTCAGAAGAAAGGGGAAGGCGCCAAGGGACAGGGGTGCAGGAGACAAATGCAAGGGAGCCAAGTGCAGACAATGAGGTAAAGGGCAGGAGGGGAGGTGTCAGTGGGAGGGGAGACAGGGTGATGCTGGGAGAGGAGAAGATAAGGGCACTGGGGCCTGGAGGGGGAGGTACTGGGAGAAGGCTAGAAAGAAGGGGTCGGCATGAGGAAGGCAGGGATAGAGCAAGGCATGTGTGAGGGCACAGGGGCATGAGGAGAATGGGGGCAGAGGGTGGTGAAGGGGTGGGCATCAGGGAAAAAGAGAGCAAAGGCGGCAGGGGCAGTGAGGGAAGGGGGAGGCACTAGGAGGGTGCAGGTGCCAGGGGATTCTGGGGTTGAAGCAGAAGGGCAGACACCTGTAGGAGAGGAACCATCACCGGAGGAGAGAGGCAGGGCAGATGTGTAGAGGGAGGTTTTAGGAGAGGGGACGAGGATCAGATCAGAGTGGGGCTACTGGAGGAGTGGGCACAGGGGGGAGAGAAGGGCTGGTGGAGGGGGACAGGTCTCAGGAAGCCTGAGGACAGTGAGAAGGGCAGGAGTCAGGACAGCAGCGGAGGGTGAGGGGTTGGGAAGCAGCAGGCACCAGGGGAGTTGATGGAGCAAGGGGAGGAGACATGGCAGCAGAGGGAAAAGGTAGAGGTTTATAAGATATTTATTAATAACTTATTAGTAATTACTGTTCTTAGTCTTATTAGGAATTTGTAATATTAAAAAAAACACTTTTTGGGGGGGAGGGTGGCGAGTCCCTTTTTTGTCTAGCGAGTAGGGTTTTCCAGTATTTGTCGAGCCCTGGTGATAACCATATAATTAATTAATGCATAAAATCTGGCAGTATTCAACAAAGATGTGTGCTGACCTAAAGAAGCTGTTTCATACAAGAAGTGCATAACATAAAATTCAGTGGAAACTATTTAAGAGATATACAAGAAAAATCACAACAACAATACAGTAAAACCTGTTAGCCAGCACTCTCAGGGTATGTCTACACTACCCTCCTATTTCGAAATAGGAGGGTAATGTAGGCATACCGCAATTGCAAATGAAGCCCGGGATTTGAATTTCCCGGGCTTCATTTGCATAAGCGGGGCGCCGCCATTTTTAAATCCCCGCTCGTTCGAAAAGATACACCAGCAGCATGTGAGCAAAACACAAAGCATTACTTTGTTACTCCACTGAGCAAGAACTGGTCTTTGCCTGTCCTTTCAACTAATGATATTGCCACAGCAACAGAATCTGTTACAGGAGATCTAGTGCAAACATTATGATTGGAAAATATACACCGACACCTACTCAAGTACTCATGCTAAAATGGAAGGCTACTTACCTTTCAGTAACTGGAGTTCTTCAAGTTTCATGGTCACCATAGGTGCTATTGTACTCCATGCACTTACACCTGGAAGATTCTTTATTAGCAGCACCCATTAATCCATGCCTGTATCCTGCAATCCCTGAACTGCAGACACAAAAGTCCTACCACATATCCAGTTCCTACTCTACCTGGAATAAAGAGGATTCAGATAGAGCCGTGGTCACCAACCAGTAGATCGCGATCTACCGGTAGATCTCAGGGGCTCTAAGAGTAGCTCTTGAGCCCTCTCTGAACTGCGCGCCTGCACAGTACATTTACATTAGATTTCCTCATTTGAGGAGCAGCTACTCACTGAGCAACAACACGGGTGAGTAGCTGCGAGGAATGGTGGGAGCTGGGAGGTCGGGAGGCCTGAAACACCCCAGCCAGCTGAGTGTGGCTTTCAGCTGAAAGAGGCTGCCCTGCGCTCCAGCTGATCGGCGGCTTCTCCTCTGCACCTGCCCACGTGGAGCTTGCTGCACCCTGGCTGAGCGCCATGGCCAGCTGGGCGGGCAGCCACTTCTCTTCCTTCCAGCCCGGCTGCCCCGCCGCTGATCAGCTGGAGCGCAGGGCAGCCTCTTTCAGCTGAAAGCCACAGTCAGCTGGCTGTGGTGTTTAACCCCTCCCGAACTCCCAGCTCCCACCATTCCTCGCAGCTACTCACCTGTGTGGAAGTTTCTATGACCAATTTACTGAATAGAGCCTACATGAGTACTATAAAATAGTTGATTTTATGGAATTAGCACTTGAAGGCTACATTATCACAACTTTGCTGGCATGTGCATATACAGTGAAACCTTTGTTATCCGGCACTCTGTTAACCAGAAAACTTTGTTAACCGGCATTGCCCGCAGCCGCAATATTGACACATCTTCAGGCACATAGGCCTGGTTCAAATCCCGGGCTTCATTTGCAATTGCGGTATGCCTACATTACCCCGCTAGTTCGAACTAGCGGGGTAGTGTAGACATACCCTCATGGATTAGGGTGTTCCGGTTAGCTAAAAATTCCGGTTATCTGAGGGTCCCATCAACCTAAGAAAAACCAATGGACAATAATATTAAAACTCAAGTTTTTAATAGTGGTAGTTTTGTAGTGTGAGGCAGCTGGTCTCACATTTCTATTTTGAGTTAAAGATGATTAGTACTTCTTAAATAAAAAATTGTTAAGCCAATCATGGTAAACCAAGCCAAGCCTGTGTGCCTGAAGATGTGTCAATATTGCGGCTGCGGGCAATGCCGGTTAACAAAGTTTTCTGGTTAACAGAGTGCTGGATAACAAAGGTTTCACTGTATATGCACATGCCAGCAAAGTTGTGATAATGTAGCCTTCAAGTGCTAATTCCATAAAATCAACTATTTGATAGTACTCATGTAGGCTCTATTCAGTAAATTGGTCATAGAAACTTCCACCAAACTATGGTCTTATGTAGGTTCAAAATATGCCTGATTCTCCTCTCTCTTACACGAATGTTTAAATGTAGTTAAAATTAAGTAA